CCACACAGGGGAACACATGAACCGCTAGAGGTTCGCTTCTGCTGTGAAATGTCCCAGCACAAACTGATCTACAAGTTTCGCCAGCACCTGCAGGAGGAAGAACAGAGCTGGATCTATATGTTTACATAGTCACAGCCCTGTTGTGACAGGGGGAAGTCATGGATCATCTGTCTCTTCAGAGCTGATAACACAATCTAATCATTTCCTCTAGTAAAAAGCACCACCTACTGTACACCAAGCACATAGCTAGGCACACAGTTAACCCTTTGATAAACCCTAGATATTGACCCCTTCCCAACCAGTGTCATTAGTACAGTCAGTGTATATTTTTAGCACTGATCACTGTATTAGTGTCACTGGTTCTCACAAAGTGTCAGTAAAAATGTCCACCGCAATATTGCAGTCCCACTGTAAGTCGCTGATCGCTGCCATTACTAGTATTAAAAAAATAAATAAAATTCCAGTATATGCACCATAGCTTGTAGTCGCTATAACTTTTGTGCAAACTAATCAATCTACAATTCATGGGATTTTTTTTACCAAAAATATGTAGCAGAATACATTTTGGACTAAATTTATGAAGAAATTTGATTTTTAAAATGTTTTTATTGGGTATGTTTTATAGCAGAAAATAACTTTTTTTTTTTTCAAAATTGTCAGTTTTTTTTGTTTGTAGCGCAAAAAGTAAAAACCGCAGAGGTGATCAAATACCACCAAAAGAAGGCTATATTTGTGGGAACAAAGGAAATAAATTTATTTTGGGTACAGCATTGCATGACTGTGCAATTGTCAGTTAAAGGAACGCAGCGCCATATCGCAATAAATGGCCTGGTCATATCTTCTGGAGGGCAAGTGGTTAAATGAGCTTGAACACGCTCTTTCTTCAGCAATGTAGTCTTGCGTGGTGAGTGTGCATACAGGCCATGGCGGTTGAAGTGCACCACTTTCGTTTTCTTTGAAACAATTGTACCTACCAATTCCAGGTCTTTCTGAAGTTCTCCAAAAGTGGTCCTTGGCTCTTGGACAACTCTTCTGATAATTCTTTCCACTCCTCTCTCAGAAATCTTGCGAGGAGCACTTGGTCGTGGCCGGTTTATGGTGAAATTATGTTCTTTCCACTTCTGGATTATGGCCCCAATAGTGCTCACTGGAACATTCAAAAGTTTGGAAATCATTCTGTAACCAATGCCATGAGTATGTTTTGCAACAATAAGGTTGCAAAGATCTTGAGAGTGCTCTTTGATTTTATCCATCATGAGATGTTTGCTGTGTGACACCTTGGAAACGAGACAGCTTTTTCGAGGCCATCAGTTGAGAATAAACCAGCTGATATTAATTTGCAGACAAGGGGCAGGATTACTCATAGATTTCAGCTGGTGTCTTGGCTTTCCATGCCCTTTTGCACCTCCTTCATATGTTCAATACTTTTTCCCTGTGTTATTCCATTTTATTACACATAACTGAATTTATTTGTTTTGGTTTCTTTCTATATATGGATTGCATGGGTTGTTACCGATGTGGTGAAAATTTCATGTCAATAGCACCTTTAGAAATATATTTGCTGAGAAAAATAGTGATATGTTCAATACTTATTTTGCCCGCTGTACATTTAAAAAAAAAAATAGATACACACAAACAGATATTTATGTCTGCAGGATAGCAAATTTACAAAATAGTATTAGTAGGTTCTTCATTTAACCTTCTGGCATAGGACCCACATTTAGGGATGGCCTTTATGACTCAGACTTGTAACCCTACGGTGGATTAATTGTGCTTGTACGAAAATAGTCGGGGCACACTGGTCAGGGATTCCCTGCTTGATTAGCCTACAATGCTCCTCCAAACTGCACCTCATGGTCCCTATGGTTCCGCCAACATACAGCAAACCACAGGGACACGAGAGGCAATATACCACCAATTCAGAAACACAGATACAGAAAACTGTCAAATGGTAGATCTTCGTATCGTCATTGAAGCTTTTTTGTCCATGCTGAACAAGTTGACACATGGAGCATTTAACATTTGTGCATTGATACTTGTTGACAATTTGGCAAGAGTGAGGATCCTATTTTACTGGGAGCAATTTTATTGCCAATGTTTGGGACTTTACGGTATTCAAATTTTGGTTTAGGAGGTAAGACAGGACCCAATTTGGGGTCCTGCATTTGATTTCACCAATGTTAAAAAATATCTCCATTCTGTCTATGCATACAGTGAAATTGGGTATTGAACTTAATATTGAAAAAAGTTCCCTGGCAGATGTGTTTTTTGGAGGGGTAACGTTAGATAACCTCAATGACCTCTAAGGCTCCCTAATCATTACCTTTGGCAGAAAATTCATCTAGAGTGGCTTTACTCTGTGTGATGTAGTCATGATCCGTGCTGCACTCCCCCCCCCCCCCCCCAGGTTATTTCCTGCCCCCCATGTGCCCCACTAAATTAGGCTGCCGGCAGTAGTGGAACTTCCGCGCCTCTCAAGCTTCTCCTCTATGACAGGAGCAGTGTCTGGCTTCTGCGGGAGAACGGATTCCTCCCTGCAGCAGGTGTCAGGAGGAGATAGGACTGGAGGAGGAGGACATGGGATGGGGGAGATGGTACTTGAAGAAGACAGCATGGGATGGAGGAGATGGTGCTAGAAGAGGATGTGGGATGGAGGAGATGGTACTGGAAGAGGAGGACATGGGATGAGGGAGGTGTTACACTGCTTTATGTTAATAATGTTCAACTTGTTGTTGTTGTTAATATTTATTTTTGGAACTTTAACCTGCATAAAACATTTAATAATGTAATTTCAAGAGATAATTTACTGGGATGTATTTAGGGGCCGTGTTGGATAGAGGTTGGGTAGGACAACTGGTGGCAAGTAACTCTTAAGGTCTGGCTAGTATCTCAGGACTTGAAATTTTGAGCCCTGCACTAGCGTATTAGCATCCCATATATGGGTAAAAGAAAGGTCCATTGAATTGTCATTGTAATGTTTGACAAAAAGAGATCTATAGTAGAAGGGCCATTCCAGATGACAATCTATGCATCTCCTGAATTTATGTCAGAGGCAAATTAATTGTTTTGCCAAAACCCTCATATATCGTTTTGCAATTTGGTTAGTATGTAGCAATAGAGAAAGGTTAATGTCCTCTTGTGTCAATTTGTTGAGCATGGACAAAAAAGCTTTACTGACGATATTAATAAGATCTGACGGCCTTATACATGTGCTTCTCAATTTGTGGTATACTGCCTCTCATGTCCTTGTGCTCTGCTGTATTTTGGTAGAACTATTAGGACCAAGAGAGTGCAGGTTTGGGGAGTATCGCAGGCTAATTGAGCAGGGCAGCATTAACCAGTGTGTCCTGACAAAAGCACAATAAATCCATATTAGGGTTACATGTCTGGGTCATAGAGGCCATCTTGAAATGTGAGTCCTTTGCTGAGAAATTCAAAAAATTATGCCACACGGAAAACTTTTGTTATACCCTAACCAACCTGGCAGCCAAAGGGTTAAATGAAGAACTCAAGATGAATATTATTAAAAATAATACCATTTTGTAAATTTGCCATCCTGCATTTTTATATTTTGTGGTGAGTGAAGTACTATGAAGCACTCACATACTTAATGATGTAAGAGGAGTATTGCAAATGATACTTCTACTTCACACAACCAGTCGGCTGACGAAACGCGTCAAAGGGAAGTGACGTCAGACGCACACGAGAACTGGAAGTGAGGCGGCGGCCATTTTAGTAGTGGCAAAAGCACACCAAACAATCTGGAAACTGCAGAGGATTGCTGAAAGGCAAGAGAGGACCAGAAGTGGGGTGGCGGGCATTTTAGTAGTAGCAAAAGCACACCAAACAATCTGGAGACTGCAGAGGATTGCTGAAAGGCAAGAGAGGACCGGAAATGGGGAGGCGGGCATTTTAGTAGTGGCAAAAGCACACCAAACTATCTGGAGATTGCAGAGGATTGTTAAAGAGGTCTGATATTACTGGATCAATGCGGTTTTAAGGAGGGCATATTGTGAGTACACTGAATAAAGGTATTACATGGTACAGTGGCGGTATTACACTATTATATTCCCCATATATTTGGCAATTTGGTAGAGTATGGTGTAAGGAGTAGTATGGAACGGACTTGTTGATGGATCCTGAGGATAGAAGGAGAGAGGGATAACCATAAGGATCCTTTCGAGGGCTATAGAACTTCCATTGCTATTTGGATAGGGCTTAATTATTTTGTTGCTCTGGTAAGGGTATTTATTCCTTACTTTAATAGAAGTGAACACGGTTTTTCACCTGTGTGGCACAACGCATGTTTCACTTATACACTTGCATTCTAATCACTATAGAGGATTCACAAGTGTGTTTATTGTGGAGTGCATTCACTCAAAGTTTATGTAAAAGAATAATGCACTGTTTTTTTCTTTTCTTTTTCTTTGAAGTGATTTTGATCGTGCAAGCCTGTGGGAGGCTCTAATATTGAGATTACGGTGTGGAATCACATATTTGACAACTACAAACACTGGGGTTATAGTTTTGGACTTTAGAATTTTGGACATATTTTGATTTTTTTTTGGGGGGGGGATTTTGTATGTTTTTGATTTATTATTTATATTGAGTGGCATTTTTTGATTATCAATTTGACAACTTCAAGGGTGAAGGTGGATTTATGCTACTAGGGTATATTTAATTATTTATGTAGTATATGTCAGTGGTTTGGAGTGGTATGAATAGTATAATTGTAAGTGTGCATGAGGCCTAAGAAGTTCGGGTGGAGACAGGAAGTGAGGGAATCTCTCACAACATAGCCTCCAACTGCAGTAAAACCTGACAGGAGCTCTAATCCTTCCCCACTCTATCCAAAAAAAAAAAAAAAAGTTTTGGGTATAGATACTCTCACTTTCCTGATGTGAACATTTGCAGCGACTGTTACAAGGATGTTTCACTCTGCATGATAGAGTTATAAATATTTTTATATTTATATTATCAATTGATTTTGTGGCACTTACTCTGTATTATTTTTCGGTATACCACAGTTGCTGGTGAGTCCGGAATCTCACTGAAAAAAGACGTACCCATATCACAGCTCTTTCCTTAAGAAAAAGTGAAAGAAAACAACACACATTTGAATCTTCTCATTATAGACAAAAAACAATTAAAACAGCAATTAAGGTACTATTTCTACCCTAAGACTTGACTGGGACATACAGTGGGGAAAATAATTATTTTATACCCTGAAGATTTAGCACGTTTGCCCACTTACAAAGAAATGAAGGGTCTATAATTTTTATCATAGGTGTATTTTAAATAAGAGACAGAATATCAACCAAAAATAAAGAAAAAACACATGATACAAATTGAGTTGCAGTTTAGTGAGTAAAATAAGTATTTGATCTCCAAGCAAAACATGGCTTCGTACTTGGTTGGTACGGGATTGCCGCCAACAAGGGTTTCTCCACCAACAATAATTCTGGCTCCCACAGACTGGCTATGTGCTCATGTGGTGCACAGATTAGTTCTGTCAACTTAAAAAAGTGCTTCTGACGACAACCCATTATATGTATAAAAGACACCTGTCCACAGAATCTCTCTTTCTTCCGTTTAAACCTTACCAGCATTGGCAATACCAAAGAGCTGTCAAAGGATGTCAGGGACAAGACTGTAGATCTGCACAAGGCTGTAATAGGCTACAAGATTATCAGCAAGAAGCTTGGTGAGAAGGAAACAACTGTTGGAGTGATAATTTGCAAATGAAAGAAATACAAAATAACCAACAATCACCCTTGGTCTGGAGCTCCATGCAAGATTTCACCTCCTGGGGTAAGGATGATCATGAGGAAAGTGCGCGATCAGCCCAGAATTACACAGGAGGAGCTTGTGAATGATCTAAAAAGGTAGTTGGACCACAGTCACCAATCAAACCATTGGTAACACAATACACCACCGTGGATTGAAATCTTGCAGCACCCACAAGGTCCCCCTCCTCAAGAAGGCACACGTACAGGCTCATCTGAAGTTTGTAAATGAGTCAGAGAAGGATTGGGAGAAAGTGCTGTTATCAGATCAGACCAAAATTGAGCTATTTGACATTAACTCGACTCGCTATGTTTGGAGGAAGAAAAATGCTGACTCTAAGAACAGCATCCCTACAGTCACGCACGGAGGTGGAAACATTATGCTTTGGGGCTTGTTCTCCGCTTAAGGTACAAGCCGACTTTGCCGGGGCCATGTATGGTAAAATTCTGGGTGAGAACCTTCTTATAAAGATGAGAGAGGCCTGTAATTGGCATCATAGGTAGACCTCAACTATGAGAGACAAAATGAAAAAAAAAAACTCCTAGACAGACAATCACACTGGCTGACTTGGAAAGAATTTATTTGCAAATTATGGTGGAAAATAAGTATTTGGTCAATATTAAAAGTTCATCTCAATACTTTGTTATATATCCTTTGATGGCAATGACAGAGGTCAAACATTTCCTGTAAGTCTTCACAAGGTTGGCACACACTGTTGCTGGTATGTTGGCCCATTCCTCCATGCAGATCTCCTCTAGAGCAGTGATGTTTTGGGGCTGTCGCTGGGCAACACGGACTTTCAACTCCCTCCAAAGGTTTTCTATGGGGTTGAGATCTGGAGACTGGCTAGGCCACTCCAGGACCTTGAAATGCTTCTTACGAAGCCACTCCTTCGTTGCCCAGGTGGTATGTTTGGGATCATTGTCATGTTGGAAGACCCAGCCACGTTTCATCTTCAATGCCCTTGCTGATGGAAGGAGGTTTGCACTCAAAATCTCACGATACATGGCCCCATTCATTCTGTCCTGTACATGGATCAGTCGCCCTGGTCCCTTTGCGGAGAAACAGCCCCAAAGCAGGATGTTGCCACCCCCATGCTTCACAGTAGGTATGGTGTTCTTTAGATGCAACTCAGCATTCTCTCACAACGAATTTGTTTCTACCAAACAGTTTCATCTGACCATATGACATTCTCCCAATCCTCTTCTGGATCATCCAAATGCTCTCTAGCAAACTTCAGATGGGTCCGGACATGTACTGGCTTAAGCAGGGGGACACGTCTGGCACTGCAGGATCTGAGTCCCTGGCAGCTTGGTGTGTTACTGATGGTTGCCTTTGTTACGTTGGTCCCAGCTCTCTGCAGGTCATTCACTAGGTCCCCCCGTGTGGTCCTGGGATTTTTGCTCACCATTCTTGTGATTATTTTGACCCCACGGGGTGAGATCTTGTGTGGAGCCCCAGATCGAGGGAGATTATCAGTGGTCTTGTATGTCTTCCATTTTCTAATTATTGCTCCCACAGTTGATTTGTTCACACCAAGCTGCTTGCCTATTGCAGATTCAGTCTTCCCAGCCTGGTGCAGGACTACAATTTTGTTTCTGGTGTCCTTCGACAGCTCTTTGGTCTTCACCATAGTGGAGTTTGGAGTGTGACTGTTTGAGGTTGTGGACAGGTGTCTTTTATACTGATAAGTTCAAACAGGTGCCATTGATGCAGGTAATGAGTGCAGGACAGAGGAGCCTCTTAAAGAAGAAGGTACAGGTCTGTGAGAGCCAGAAATCTTGCTTGTTTGTAGGTGACTAAATACTTATTTTCCACCATAATTTGCAAATAAATTCTTTCCAAATCAGCCAATGTGAGTGTCTGGATTTTGTTTCTCATTTTGTCTCTCATAGTTGAGGTCTACCTATGATGCCAATTACAGGCCTCTCTCATCTTTTTAAGTGGGAGAACTTGCACAATTGGTGGCTGACTAAATACTTTTTTGCCCCACTGTATATATCATTTAAAATACACCTATGATAAAAATTATAGGCCCTTCATTTCTTTGTAAGTGGGCAAACTTAAAAAATCTGTAGGGGATCAAATAATTATTTTCCCCACTGTATACACATATAAAGTATATACACCATGCCCTAAACTTACACAGCTGGTATCCATAGACATTTTCAAAACATGTGATAGGATTGAACTACATTTTAGGCACTGAGCACAAAAAGCTCAGTTATGGTACTAAAATTACTAGCAATTATTTGCCTAGAGATTAACCGAAGGAATACAATGAAACAATCTACACAAGTAATATGTCAAAATAATGTCACAAGAACACACAAAGCTCAAACTGTATGATTCACTAATATATATTAACTATGCAGCCTATATCAAGGGGAACCATTTTTTTTTTAACTCACTAGTAGCTGATCACTACTTATAGTGGTTAAAGTGTGCATATGTGTTAACAGTGCAGGACACTAACAGGATGGTACTAGTTAAAAGTAGACATATGTGGGGCAGTACATGTTGCCTTGCCTCTGTTTTGCTACTGGCACTAAATATTGCCTCTTCCCCCTGCTTTGCAGCTTTCAGCACAATAAAATATTTTCAGTACAAAGTAGGTGGCACAGGCAACAAATGGCTGTAAGACTAGATGGAGGGTTGCAGAAGTGGACACAGTGGCTTCAGTGATGCCTGTAGCTACTCCATGAGAACCACCATTATATATATGTTGGGGAGACTTCTGAGTTCCCAGATTTACTGGAGACCAAAATATTTGAAATATGTGTTAAAAGTGTAAAAAAAACAGTATCTGCACAACATATTTACAAATTAGAAAAGCTTTATGACATTGCACTATCCTGTCAGGCTGGCAATTAGAATGGATGGCAACTGGATAACTGGCTTAAAATCAACCAGGACTTACCTATGTTTGAGTCTAAGGGGACCTTTCCCAGCAAGGGAATGTTAAGGTCACTACACATTTTCTCTGCACCACCAGTACTTGGTGGAAAGATTTGGGATTCATTCTAAAACAGCAAAAGAAAAAAAAAAAAAGACTATCAAAAGTTTACATTAAACAACTAAATGGGTACAGTAAGTAGTAAAGTGTCAGTAAGAGACATCTACTTATTTACACTTGTATGACTAGAAGAGGAAATGATGGTTATTTCCAGTTGAGCCTTAGGCCTCGTACACACTATGTGCAGAGACATGAATTCTTATGCAGGTATTCTGCAAGGACACAAAAAAAAAAAAAAAAAAAAGAAAAAACAATTGTTTTCTATGCACCCTGTTCACACCACAACACTAGCATCACGTGTGAATTTTTTCTGTGCAGGAATCTGCAACATGTATAAAACTTACTGAAAAGTTAATGAAATGTAATGAAATGATGTCTCTGCAAGTGAAATCTGCAAGTCAGTTTCCATCAGGTTTTTCTGCACGTATGGTGTAAAGGAGGCCTAAAAGATTTGAAAAATACAGTCACGTGGCTCAAATAAAAATCCTTATTTTTGTGTTAAATGTAGAACTAAAAGGCAAAATATTTAGGCATTTTGACTTACTGCAATTTTTTTTTATCTTGGAACACAGTACAGGACACCGCACTTGTATGCAAACACCATGGGTTATATGCTGGTTAACTTCAGATGACTGGACACTGGTAAAAATAAAATAACTTGCTGGGGCTGCTCTTAGAGTATAACCCCAACAGCCTTTTGACACTCCAGTATTTAGCAAGCAATAAGGAGATTAAAAACAGAGGGAAGGGGCCTATGCCCTGTACGTACAGGCAAGTTGAAATTCCGAGTATGTTAACCTCCCTAGCGGTATGATTATTTCAGATTTTTGGTGCTGAAAGCGGTACCATTATTTTGCATGGAAATATGTAGTTTTTTTATTGTAGGCTGTAATATTTAGGGATAACTCACTGAAATCTGTCCGAACAAGAGTCTATTAAACATCCCGGGTATGATAAAATTTGAAACACGAAATCATAAATTAGAATTTAATAAATAGTCATAAAAAATAATATAATATTACATTTAATTCAATAATATAATCAAACCGAAAACACTGAAATTTGAAATATAACACCAAGTTCGTACATTACTGAGCAAAGTCGCAAAATCGTTTTCAGTGTCTGATGATGAATTTCCCCACGAATCATTATCACTCAATTCTGCAAGTGGTTCTGATTTACTATCGCTGTTCTCTAGCTGATCTAAACCCGCTTTTGACGTAAAAGGGACACTTTTTGGATGCCATGGATGTTTCTCAGTTTCCAGGCAGAAAGAACAGACAAAATGCAGGCAGGGCACAGGACAAAGCACTAGGGACAATATGTATGTGAAATGGGTTGAAACAGCAATGTTTTACTATGAAAAATGTGTTTTGAAAAAAATGACATTTTTTTAAATTTTCAAATTTCCCGCCGCCGCCCGTACGTCCCGATGTCACAGGGACCGAAACACAGAAGGCGGCATCGGCCGGAGGAGATGGCCGGGGACGCTGCAGGGGACACATCGCGGGAGCGAAGGACAAGGTAAGCACTGCAGGGACTCCCTATGCAGCGCCGCATGGTAAGCCCGAGTGTAGCTCGGGGTTACTGCTTTTGGCACTGAAACTCTACCCCGAGCTACACTCAGGAATACCGCCAGGGAGGTTAGTTGCTCAGTACAGGTGTTGTATGCACAGGCCATGGGATGTCCCTAAGTAATAAACTGAGGGGTGGGCAAAAACATAGAAAACAGAACTGCTAACAGGCCCACAAGGAAACAAGGATCAAGGAACCTCAACTAAAACACTCAGATGACAGCCTAAGTGTACACCTGGAAGAACTTGGAAAATGTGGGAACAGAGGACCAGGCGGATGCAGAAGCAGATGCTATGTTACATCAGATATATAATATATATTTTAGTACAGGTTTGGTGATTTTTAAGACTTGCATACACAGGTCAAAAAAAATAAAAAGGAACACTTTGAAAACACATCAGCTCTCAATGGGGGAAAATATGCTGGATATCTATACGGATATGCACTGGGAAATGTGTTAGGAACATAAGGATGCTCCATCGTTTGATGGAAATGAAAATTATCAACCTACAGAGGGCTGAATTCAAAGACACCCTGAAAATCAAAGTGAAAAAATGATGCAGCAGGCTAGTCCATTTTGCTGAAATTTCATTGCAGCAACTCAAAACGGTACTCAAAAAAAATTGTTTGAATGGCCTCCACGTGCTTGTATACATGCCTGACAACATTGGGGCATGCTCCTAATGAGACGGATGGTTTCCTAAAGTATTTCCTCCCAGATCTGAACCAGGGCATCCCTGAGCTTCTGGACAGTCTGAGCTGCAACCTGGTGGCGTATTGGATTTTGGTCAGGCGAGCATTGGGGCCATTCAATGGTATCAATTCCTTCATCCTCCAGGAACTGCCTGCTTACTTTCGCCACATGAGGCATTGTCGTACACCGGAGGAACCCAGGACCCACTCCACCAGCGTAGTGTTTGACAATGGGTCCAAGGATTTCATCCCGATACCTATGGCTGTCAGGGTGCCATTGTCTAGCCTGTAGAGGTTTGTGCGTCCCTCCATGGATATGCCTGCCCAGACCATCACTGACCCACCACCAAAACGATCATGCTCATCGATGTTACAGGCAGCATAACATTCTCCACGGCTTCTCCAGACCATGTCATGTCAGGTGCATGTACTCAGGGTGAACCTGCTCTCATCTGTGAAAAGCACAGGGTGCCAGTGGCAGACCTGCCAATTCTGGTTTTCAATGGCAAATGCCAATCGAGCTCTATGGTGCCGAGCAGTAAGCACAGGGCCCACTAGAGGACATTGGGCCCTCAGGCCATTCTCATGGAGTCTGTTTCTGATTGTTTGGTCAGAGACATTCAACACCAGTGGCCAGCTGGAGGCCATTTTGTAGGGCTCTGACAGAGCTCATCCTGTTCCTCTTTGCACAAAGGAGCAGATACCGGTCCTACTGATGGGTTTAGAACCTTCTATGGTCCTGTCCAGCTCTCCTAGAGTAGCTGCTTGTCTCCTGGAATCTCTTTTATGCTCTCAAGACTGTGCTGGGAGACACAGCAAACCTTCTGGCAAAGGCACATATTGATGTGCCATCCTGGAGGAGTTAGACAGCCTCTGTAGGGTCCAGGTGTCACCTCATGCTACCAGTAGTGACACTGACCCTAGCCAATGCAAAACTAGTGAAAACCAGTCAGCAAAGATGAGTAGGGAAAAAAATGTCAGCGGCCTCCAGCTGTAAAACCATTCCTGTTTTGGGGGTCGTCTCATTGTTGCCCATCTAATGCACTTGTTCATTTCATGAACACCAAGGCAGCTGAAACTGATTAACAACCCCTCTGCTCCTTAACTGACCAGATCAATATCCCAGGAGTTTAACTGACTTGATGCTATACTCTGATTAAAAAAAGTGTTTCTTTAATTTTTTCGAGCAGTGTATGAAGTCTGTTTTTTAGGAGTACACATCAACTTTCTTGTGTGAACATTTCTCAAACGTGCCATTTGCACAATATTTTCACATACTGTCCTCTAATAAATAGGAAAGAAGATACTATTAATATATATTGGGTCACTGTATGGACAATGTACATATTTTTAGCTGCTTCCACTGTTTTAGAGGAGTTCTGGTCAAACGCTGCATAAGGCTATGTCAATAAAAGTCAACAACAGCTTGACCTTTTGACATATTTGATTTAAAGGCATGTATGAAGGTAAATTGTATGTATGTATGTATGGCATGAAGGTAAATCTTGTAGGGGCTGGATGTTCTTGCTCTGAGTAAGGTGGCAATAACAAAGTCAGAAACACCCCTTTTAGGACTTGTGTTTCAACAGCCATGCTGATAAAGCCAGCTACTTGGAATAAGGACAGAATAGGGGAGCATGGACCAATAAGTCTGGTTTGTTTGGTAGAGGCCAAGATCTGTGCTAATTTGGTGTGGTGAGAATCATTGGAATCCTTTCCTCCTCTTATTTTGCGCAGCAACTGGGAAGGCATAAAAAAAACCTTGAACTCAGTCCAAGGAATCACCAGAGCATCTACTGCAAAGGCTAGAAGATCTCTTGTTTTGGCTGTGAATTTCTTCAGATTGTTGTGGAACCTGGAGCCCAGGATGTCTACATCTGGTTTTCTCCACCTATGACTAGATTTAGGCATTGATAGCTTAGGAAGTCTGGTTGACAATTGTCTACACTAGATATATGGATGGCTGAGAGAGCAGGAATGCGAGTTTCCACTTAGGCGAGTATCAGTGTTTCTTTTAGTGCAGCTTGACTTCTGGTGCCCCCTTGATGGTCTATGTCAGGGGTGGGCAAACCTTTTGACTTGAGGGCTGCAATGGGTTCATATATTGGACCCGGGGGCCGGACCAAGAGTAGATGAAAGATGTGAATGTGTCATCCATAGTAAGTATAGTAATATTCCCCCATAGTAAGCATAGTAATTAATCCCCCATATAGTAATTCATCCCCCATATAGTAATTCATCCCCCATAGTAATTCATCCCCCATAGTAATTCATCCCCCATATAGTATCCCCCATATAGTAATTCATCCCCCATATAGTAAATTCATCCCCCATAGTAATTCATCCCCCATATAGTAATTCACCCCCCATAGTAATTCACCCCCCATATAGTAATTCATCCCCCATATAGTAATTCATCCCCCATATAGTAATTCATACCCCATAGTAATTCATCCCCCATATAGTAATTCATCCCCATATAGTAATTCATTCCCCCATATAGTAATTCATCCCCCATATAGTAATTCATTCCCCCATTATAGTAATTCATATATAGTAATTCATCCCCCATATAGTAATTCATCCCCCCATAGTAATTCATCCCCCATATAGTAATTCATCCCCCATATAGTAATTCATCCCCCATATTAATTCATCCCCCATATTAAGTCCCCAAGTCCCCCCTGTGTCAATTCACTTACCTTTGCTCCGCGCGTTCCTCTCGCCGTGTTCCCGCGC